GTGTTTTCCCCCGGACTGCCGGGCTTAAGCCTGCCCCGACTTCAGTCTTCCCTTATCTCCTGTTTGTTTCTTTTAGTAATTGTTTTGCCAAAGAAGCATAAGAAGAAAAAGGACCGGAAATCATTACAAGAAGAAGATGTAGCTGTGAGTAGGATGTTTTACTTTACTACCATGTAAAGTTTACTTAATTAACAGCTAAAGAAAATTCCCCCGGACTGCCGGGCTTAAGCCTGCCCCGACTTCAGTCTTCCCTTATCTCCTGTTTGTTTCTTTTAGTAATTGTTTTGCCAAAGAAGCATAAGAAGAAAAAGGACCGGAAATCATTACAAGAAGAAGATGTAGCTGTGAGTAGGATGTTTTACTTTACTACCATGTAAAGTTTACTTAATTAACAGCTAAAGAAAAGTAGCTTTAATGTTCCAAGAAATGGGCTGTCTTTGGGTGGTTCATAGAGAACCAACAAAGCGCTGAAATAATAACGACCTCAGGCAGCCAAAGTTGCCAGTTATGCTGTATATACTTTCCTAAGTGGTATTTGGCCATACCAGCGGTTCTCCCTGAATTTCTCTTCTTTGTTCATCCCACAGCCATACAGTTACCCTTTTTTAAATATTTGGATGCATCTTAATTGCATGCCACTTTTCTTAATGAGCTCATGGTTGGTTTCTTCTCTTTCTTGAAGGCCCTAATGAAGAGGCATAGAAAGCCTCATTTTCTGTTTGAAAAGCATGCACTTCTGTAGTAGAAATGGAGTTGTGCAGAGTCAGGTGAGTTGGTCTAATAGGTTATGTTTCTGTCCTGTGGAAGGAAATACAACACGCTGAGGAATTTCTTATCAAGCCAGAATCCAAAGTGGTTCAGTTGGACACATCTCAGTGGCCTCTGTTGCTCAAGGTATGTGCCATGTGCATCTAGTGAGTGGCTTTCTGCATTTGTACAATGGCTAAACGGTTGGTTAAGAATGCGTACTGTTTAGCATCTTTGATCTTAGTAAATCACCAGATGATACAGTATAAAGCACAATTTTTCAAGGTGTCTGAAGTGAAAGATCACGTTATTCAGTATTCCCAACCCTTATAGGACACAGTGTTAATGGCACCATAGTAGTAAATTGCCGTCAGTACTTGTGAACAGTTTAGTATCTCGTCTGAAGATGAAGCACATCTTGTCAACTTGCACCAGTTTGAGTGCCACACTTGAAATAGGAATACTGTAGTGTTTAAGAGCTTTAAAGCCTGACCCATTTGGGTCAGATTGTATGTGACCTTGGGCCATTAACTTACTTTTCTGAGACTGCTCAAATCTTGGAAAGATGTGCTGAGGGTTACAGAACATGGTTAGCCATAGTCCTGGCATGTTGTAATATGTCTTAAATTATCAGCTATTATTTGGGGGTTTAAATGAAGTAGTTGAGTAATGGGTTGAATTACAGTGTTTCTATAATTTTCACATTTGAAATGGATACCAGCAATGAGACTTGGAGAACAATTTAGAGTTAGCCCTTGACAGAGAGTTATTAAACCCCTACATATGGATTGGTGAAAGAATGAGGTTTGCTAATACTATTTAACAAGAGTTTGAGTTTCTGCTTGGCTAGATAGCACGGTCGTGTAGGCCATACCTGCTTTTCTGACCCTGGAAATGTGCTATTAAACTGGGTAGGAAAGGTCCCTACTGTGAGGCAAAATACCATTGGGGCACGGGAGGTGGACATTAAAAACACTGCTATTTGTAGTAAATACCATAATGAAGCTAAACTGGTGAGAGCTCCTCCCAACTGATGGCCAAGCCTCAGAGAGGGCCTGAGAAGGAACAGCTGGAGAAGGAGCAGAGACAGGAGCATCTGGAGCAGAAACAAGCTGGCTGTGTTGAGAAACATTGCCAGTCATTCCCAGTTTGGCTCTCTTCTGTCCTTGAGTAAATCAGAGCTATTCCATTTTTTTAAAGTTCACAATGTTACTCAGTGAGGAAAAAAAAAGTTCATAGTCTTGCATGGTGAAACCCAGTTTGTTCTGAAGTACCCCAGCAAATCCCTAGAGCACTGAGTTAAACCAACAAGTGAGCAAGTTTGTCTTCTTTTTTACTAATATTGGGGATTTTCCCAGTATCTCAGGAGGCTTAATAGCCTGGCACTGAAAATAATGGTAATCCAGGAGCAGAAATACAGATTTATAAACTTGAAGGGTTACCATGTCATGGTTGATGGTGGTGCTGTTGTTTTACACATGTCCATGCTATAGTGTTCGGTTTAATTGTATCACATCGTTGCTTTCTAGAACTTTGATAAGCTGAATGTAAGGACAACACATTATACACCTCTTCCTTGTGGTTCAAACCCTCTGAAGAGGGAGATTGGGGACTATATCAGGTAAGTGTCTGGAGTAAGCACTGTTCACACTTAGGTTCTTTTCCGTTGTTCACAGAGGTTGTGGCATCTTAGAATGGCTTTGCCCTGATCATATAACTGACATCTGTGGTGAACTTCTTTTTAACTCTTTACATTTGTTTTGTTTTAGAGCACAAGAGCAGGTAGTACATGAATGTCTTTTTCCATTCTAGGACGGGCTTCATTAATCTTGATAAGCCCTCTAACCCCTCTTCTCATGAGGTGGTAGCCTGGATCCGACGAATACTCCGCGTGGAGAAGACAGGGCACAGTGGCACACTGGATCCCAAGGTGACTGGCTGTTTAATTGTGTGCATAGAACGAGCCACTCGCTTGGTGAAATCACAGCAGAGTGCAGGTATGTGGAAGAGGGGTGAAGGGCTGGCTCCCTGGAGTTGGGAGGGCATTCTGCATTTGCCTCGCATCTCTGCTTTCTAAGTTCCAAATGCTAGGCATGTGCACGCTGAGCTCACTACTCCATTCCTAGCACAGGGACAGAATTCTTTCAGGTGCTGGGCATGTGGCTCCTGGCTTTGCTCTTTGTGCTTTTTGCCTAAAGTGCCCTTGCAAGGCATTTTCCAGTGTGGCTCTACACTGGGTACTCTCCCTGTCCCTGTCAGCACACTGAACCCTGAACTCCAAGGTGAGAGAGTGTCTTTGACATTTCTCTTCCTCATAAGCACTGGGAATGTGGCTTAATAAAAATATTTACAGAAACACGAAGGTCAAGTTGCCTGCTTTCTCTGTTATGCAAAATGGCATGATTGAGCATATAAAAACAGAGAAAACTCAGTGGCCACACCTGACTACTCTTGTCATTTTTCAGGCAAAGAGTATGTGGGAATTGTCCGGCTGCACAATGCTGTTGAAGGGGGGACCCAGCTTTCTAGGGTAAGTGTGCAAATGTAGAGAAGGCACCTTTGACCTCCAAACATCTGCAAACAGACCCGCTTTCCCGGTGAGCCTCTTGTTCCCTTTCAGTGGGCTTCTTGGCCAGCCTGGACATAGTCTGCAAGTGGCCAGGACACTGTTCCACCAGGTCTCCTGAGGAGGAGGCTCTGGTCAGCACCATGCCTGCCCCGAGTTGTGAAGAAAGAAGCAGACACCGAAGGGGCATTTTAGATCTTAAGTAACTGAAAGAAACTCGGGTTTTCTTTGTGTCCTTAGACTCCCAGAATATGCCCTTTACTCTTATCTAAGAGGACACATGATACGAGCGTCTCGTTTGCTTTGTGCTTGTTCGTAGGCCCTAGAAACTCTGACGGGTGCCCTGTTCCAGAGACCCCCACTTATTGCTGCAGTAAAGAGGCAGCTGCGAGTGAGGACGATCTATGAGAGCAAAATGATTGAATACGACCCTGAAAGACGATTAGGTGAGTCATTAGGCAGGCCCATGACGAGCTGGATGCCCTAGACCACAAGTAGTGGGGAGAGATGTACTCTTGGGAGGTCTGTCCTGTTACTAAAAATAGATGCCTTTAGCACACTGTAGTTTTGGCCTGTGTCCATCATCTCAGTTTTGATGGCTCATATGGAGAATGACAATTCCTCAATCAGGAATGTGTGTACTCTGGAAACCAGGTGCTGCTAACTTTATGTGTGTGTCTCAGGGATCTTTTGGGTGAGTTGTGAGGCCGGCACCTACATCCGGACGCTGTGTGTGCATCTTGGGTTGTTGCTGGGAGTTGGTGGTCAAATGCAGGAACTTCGGAGGGTTCGTTCTGGAGTCATGAGTGAAAAGGTATGCCATTATGGGGCTAGAGACTTCCATATCTACTAGCCCATGGTGGGATTCTGCCTGCTTCATGTCCGGTGAGAGGCAGTTTCCAAAGTGTTGAGTTCAGTTCAGGGCCACTTCCCTGGTCTGTTAATTAAACTTTGGGACATTGAAATGGGCTACAGGTGATGATTGAATAAAAAATATATATCGAGTTCATCTCTGAGCCTACAGAATTGCCTGATGAGGTCTGATGAAGCAACAGTTAAAGATACTCAGAAGAGAGAGGCAGATCAAGAGAGATTGGAGACTCCTAATGAACTTGTCCTAGCAGACAAGTTTCAGGTCTGGTGGGTATTTGAGCTATGAAGACACTGAATTCTTTTCATACATGGCTGCTTTTCAGGACCACATGGTGACAATGCATGATGTGCTCGATGCTCAGTGGCTGTATGACAACCACAAGGATGAGAGTTATTTGCGGCGAGTTGTTTATCCTTTGGAAAAGCTGTTGACATCTCATAAGCGGCTGGTTATGAAAGACAGTGCAGTAAGTCTAGATCAAGAGTTCTGTTTAGATAGGATGCAACTCCAAAGATAGGACATGGTCCTTGTTCTTAAAACTGAATTCCTCTGAAAAGAAATGAAACTTCGGCAGTGCAAACTTTTATTTATCATCTTTGGGGATATTTTGTGAACATTTTTTTCTTCCTAGTTGCATATGGTGAATGATGGATTCTCTTTGTTAGTGGAAACATGACTAAAATTTCTTGACATCAAAGCCAGATATATTGCTCTTAAAAACTTAATGCCAGGCCTACTTTCTTTTCGGAATAAGGCAAATTAAATTCTGACTTCAGTTCTCCCTGAGTAACTTGGTTTGAGTAATAGACTCTTGGTGGTACATACAGTTTTCCCTCTTATGAGAAAAGTTTCAGAGATACAACTATTCTATAGGAATTTTGAAAAAGTTATGTTCAAGTAAATTGTAATCTGAGGCAATACAATAGAAATTTAAAACTGAGCCGGGCGTGGTGGTCCACGCCTGTAATCCCAGCACTCCAGAGGCTGAGGCAGGAGGATCCATGTGAGTTTGAGACCAGCTGAGACCCTGTCTCTAAATAAATAAACAAACAAACAAACTGAGTTTATTAAGCCCTTTTCTTGGCATATATACTACATAGCTTTATAATCAAGAAGAGTCCTGTTAATAATGCAAGTAGCCCGTAGCACATGCCTGTCGTTCCAGCACTGGGAGGCTGAGACAGGAGGATTGCCCCAGGCCAGCTAGGCCAGCCTGAACTACATGCTGAGACTGTCTCAAAAAAAAAAATGCAAGTCAATATGCAGTTATTTTAGTTGAGTTTCTTTTGTAGTAATAAGGTGATTTAAAAGTGAGTTTCTTATTCTAAATAGTCCAGCATTTTAAAAGTAGATTTTTATTCCTCACTGTGTTATCAGAGAATGAAGCCTTTTATAAATTAAGCTTGTCTTTGTGGCCCAGTGCATCATCAACTTTCTGTGTAGGTACAAACATTTTTTTCTAACTTGAGGTTGGGAATGGGGATGCAGCTTAGTAGAGTGCTTGCCTAGGGTGTGTAAGGCCTTGGATTCTTTACCCAGTACTGCAAATGATAATAATTTGAAGTTGATAATTCATATTCAGATCTTAAGTTACATAGAGATATTTGGTGCATTTTATATGTTCTAGTCCATAAATTGGAGAAGCATACTAGAATAGCACTAAAAAAATTGGAAAAAACCATGTAAAGAGTAAACAGTATACTTGTGATGTGCCCTCTGTGTGCTAGGGTCAGACAGCCGGCTTTTTGAATAAATTTGCGGAATATAGTCCACAAAAATACCTAGGGGAGTGAAGACAAGATGGCATGAGCCCCGTGATGTATTGGGTGTCATCAGACTCCCAGAGAGATGGCCTTAACTTGTATCCATTGGCCAGTGAATTCTGTGCTAAAACTGCTGTGGTTGAGCAGGCCTGGTAATCTTATTTGCAAGTTATCTTGAAAGCAGAGCCTGTTATTGCCTGTATATCCAGTAAATGTTTTGTAGCCTGTTAGAGATTAGAGAGGAACAGCTCGGGGAAGCTAAGATAATCCCATGGAAAAAGCAGAGCCTAAACATCTGATTACATAACTTAGCGAAGGGGGAGGACAGTGTTCTGTAGCAGCAGAAGCCTCATGAAATCTGAGAAGTAGCTATTCAGTTGCCTTTGATGTTTTGAGTGCTGTATGTAGAAACCTTTGGGCAGTGGCTAGCGCACACACTGGATGTTTGCTGCTGTCCTTTGTCCCGTTGGGCTCTTGATACCATTAGCCCCATCTCCCACTTGGGCCACCTCCTGTTATCTGCCCCTGATGTGGTTTGGGGGTGTGACCGAGGGCAGCAGCTGGTGGCTTCACTAATGATGCCCTTGTCCGTGCAGGTCAATGCCATCTGCTATGGAGCCAAGATCATGCTTCCGGGTGTTCTGCGCTACGAGGATGGTATTGAAGTCAACCAGGAGATCGTGGTCATCACCACCAAGGGGGAAGCGATCTGCATGGGTAAGGGGGGGGTGTCGTCCTTGTTTCCGGAGTTGGTTCCTTTCTGCCCTGTCACAGCTAGGCTGCCTGAGAGCAGTTCCCTTGATTTGATCAGTTTTGGTGTTTTGTGTGGTATGTATGGGTGGTCACAAGGAAGGGGAGGCGAGCGGGGTTTACCTTTATGTGCACATAGGCCCTTGGATCTTCAGGGAAAAGACAAGAACTCACCAGTCAGGAGTAGCCATGGTTGGTTGTCATAGTGATCAAAATGAACAGCCTTTAGTTAACTCCTTGTCTGCTTTTCATGTAGCTTGTGATTAGTACTAGTTTGTGTGTGTAAGTTTAGCTAGCCACTGTTGGATTGTCCCTTACAACTTTTTAATGCTCTGTAGCCCGTATAAATCAGAGCTACTTATTTAATAGTCCTAATTTTCAGCAGAAATAAAGCATGTCAGCAGGATCCCTTAAAAATTTAGCATCCTTCCCAGAATAGAAGATTTTCTCCATATGCACATCATGAACAAAAGAAGTTGCAATTACAGTAGGAGAGCATGGTGCTTTAAATGGATTTTTTAAAGGCACAAAATGGTAGAATTAGGGCTTATCAGTTATCAAATGTTTCCCCTTGCCATCATTTTTTCTTTCCAATGTCTGCAGCTATTGCATTAATGACCACAGCAGTGATCTCTACCTGCGACCATGGTATAGTGGCCAAGATCAAAAGAGTGATCATGGAGAGGGACACTTACCCTCGGAAATGGGGCTTAGGGCCCAAGGTGAGTGGGAGTGGGCTTTGGGTTTTGCCAAGGGTACTCTGTTTTGCTGCAAACCCGCATCACGGCTCTGGTGGGTTCCTGCTGCCACAGGGGTCTGGATTATTGGTTGCTGGTGAGCCCTTTCTTGGCCCTAAGAGATTCTGTCTTAGTAGTGGGAAAGGTTGAGCATTACTTAGATAGCCGCACAGTAGGGTGGCAAGTTTTGGCCAGGACAGTGGCTCTGAGGAGCACAGAGAGGCACCTGGTATCTAGAGAGTCCACAGTGGGGACTGTGACCTGCTCAGGGCTATGGGTAGTCTTCTCTTAAGCCAGTGTGGAGGCTGGGTTAGGTGCTGATAAGGTGGGGAGGGGAGGAGAGTTCAAGGCAGTTCTGCGGAGCTTGAGTCCCTGCTGAGTATATGCAAGTGAGAAAAACTTGTGCTGCTCTGTGTACCGGAGTCTGTGTAAGCCATGGCGTGCGCTTAGTTTCCATCTCCTGAGTTCACATCTTTCTGATGGTGAGGCCCTGATGTCCCGCTAGGCAAGTCAGAAGAAGCTGATGATCAAGCAGGGCCTTCTGGACAAGCACGGCAAACCCACCGACAACACCCCTACCAATTGGAAGCAGGATTATGTCGACTACAGGTGAGTCTGCAGAGCCGAGGGGACAGGACCGGGCAAGGCTGATTGAGCAAACGTGCCCTGCCACACCTTGCTGGCCCAGGCCAGGTCTCAGCTGTCTCTGCAGCGTGGCCTGAGCTCCGGAGGGAGGCAGTCTGGGCTCTCTGTCCAGTCTTAATGTTTCCACGGTGTCTTTAGACCTGCTGGGCCTCACTGCGTGACAGAGGATGCAGCAAAACTACCAGGTGAGGCTGTTGAGTGGATTTGACCCATTATTTCCTGTCCTTTCTTAGTGATTCCAGCAAGAAAGAAGCGGTTGTTGAAGCAGTAAAACCACCACAGGTAGTTGCTGAAGTGGCAAAAGCCCCACAGGTAGTTGCCGAGGCAGTGAAAGTCACAAAGGTGAGTGGCATGATGTGACCCTCAGGAACGGGCACCAGCATTGGGCTTACGTTGGTGCTGTAGTCTAGCATAATGCTGGTCGGGGCAGTGGGCTATCAGATTGTGTTGCTTCTGTGTTCCTGTCAAGTCTGCTGGGGCCAATGTGAGCTCCCCCTCAGCTGTGGCAGTGACCTGTTATTCCAGCCCCCATGCTGGGTCTGCACAGAACTCTTGAGAACAGAGTTGCCAGAGACCCACACACATTTCTAGTCAGCACCAGTACTTAAAGGGTCGAGTTGAAGCATGTCATGATAGCCTGGTTCCCCGGGGTTGGGGACTGGCATTAGAGCCCAGAATGGCATATGTGCACTTGGAAACCTTTGGTTACTGGGTAACCTGTGCTGTGTTGGTGGAGCTTCTGACTTGTCAGGTGTCAACTCCAGCTCTGCCTGCCTTGTGTGGGACTTGTGGGAACATTCCTAGGTTCTGTAACCCAGAAATAGCTTCTCAGCAAAGCATAACTGTTGGGTCCAGTTGGGGATTTGTGTTTGATTTCCTGCTTTTTGACTTACTGAACTTTTCATGTCCATTATTGCCCGATGTCTGACTTTGATCATTTGTTCTTATGTCAGCGGAAGCGAGAGAGTGAGAGTGAAAGTGATGAGACCACTGCAGCCACCTCCAAGTTGTCCAAGAAGGAAAAAAAGAAGAAGAATAAGGACAAGAAGGCCAAAGCCACACCCGAGAGTGGGGGCGAGCCTGGAGATGGGGTAAGGATGAGCCAGGGTGGGCTCAGTCCTTGGCTAGGGAAAAAGACAGCTGGCTTTGTTCTGCTGGGGCAGTGGCCTTGTTTGCCATGGAGGGATGGACAGATAGGGTACCTGGCATTTTAGAGGGGTGGCTTACAGTGGGAATTGTGTTGGGGGTAGGTGGGTGGGGTGTGCACTTTGTCCCGCTTGTGCAGGTAGACCAGTAGGGTGTCACTGTTTTTCTCTGTAGGACAGTGATACCTCCAAAAAGAAGAAGAAGAAAAAGAAAGCAAAAGTGGTGGAAGTGGTATCTGAGTAGCAAAGGCTATGTTGAGCAGTTGTATCCAGGTGGCAGGAAAAATGGAAGCCTTACCGAGAAGACACAGTTCCTTTTGTTGTTGAGGGAGTAGAACGAAGGTCCTGGAAAAGGTGGAGAATACTGGCACATTTAGCTGCTCCCTGAGTCCTCAGTGGTGTTACCTGGTGTGCTCATCCCATCTTGTCCTGTTTTAAGGATATGGGTGAAGGAAGAGGCACATTTTATGCCACTCACCTGTCTGCCCGTGTGCATTGGGAAGCTTCGCCTTCAGTCCCAGTACTGCCCAGTAACTGTGCAGCTGTTTACTAATGGTTGTTTTTAACAACATTGTAGTCCTCTCCTGGTGTGCTGCTTTTCTTAGCCCTTCTAAAAGGTTTGTAAAAATTATTCAGTGGATTTGTGTACAACCATCACTAAGTGAAAGAATGGAGCTGGCCCGTGTCGTTCACTGGGGCAGTCTTGTCTCTGACGTCCTTTGAGGACATTGGTGTGTTCTGGTGGCGGAGTTGGTGTCCCTTTATGTTTCTGACCCAGCTGTCATTCCTTTGTGCACTTCTCTAAGCTCGTATGTACAGCAGCGTTCACCCAAATTCATCTAGCTACTGTGTTTGTGGTGGAAACCAAGCTGTTCTCTTTTAACCCTCATTTACTTTTGAGGAATGAATTTGCTCATTGCTAGAAGAATGTTGTGATTTTTACATATTAAAATCAATTCATGACTTTTTTAAGTATTCCTGTTGGGTTTTATAATTTTTAAGTGATCTCAGACTGGCAGAACAAAGTATATAAAATATTTTGATTAAAAATCTGGGGGCTTTTCTGTCCTATTTGAAATTTGGTTTTCCTTTGTTTGGCTAGTTCTACATTTCTCTAATTCTGTCTTTCAACACTTACCTTGGAGTCTATCATGTGGGGTGAAATCTCAGAATAGAACCGTGTCTCGGAGGAGGCCTGGAGTGGAAGGATATCCTGGCATGGAGGGGTATGTACATTTGGGCACATGTGGGCTTTGATCAGCAGGAGCCTGCCGAGGTTGCCACTTTGGGTCCTGAGGGCAGGTGAGTGGGGAGAAAGAGATGGAAGTCCTGTTTGGCACGCAGCAGCAGAGCCCCAAGCTGTAGGCATAGGTTCAGAGGGTGCCTGACAGATTTATCCTGGCCTCTGCTTCCCCAGGCTGCCCACCGGGCCCTTGGCAGAAGCTCAGACATGTGCCCACAGTGCCTGCACTGGAGTCCTAAAGGGCTGTTTCAAAGACACTGCTGTGTATAATCTCAGCCACATCTGGACCCCAGAAAGGCACCTTGCATTGATGCCACTGCCCAGTTTAAATAAAGCAGGTAGCACTTCCCTTTCTAGAGGTGTGTGGTGCAGATGGAAGCCGAGTCACAAGGTCATTGGTGTTTTCACAGCCACATCTTTATTGCTTTGAGGGTTTCCCTAGAGCAGGTAACTTGCACGGCTGTTTGATTTGGCATTTTAGAAAGTTGCAAAAGATGCTTTCTCCAAAGTAAAGACTAATGAGATACCCGGTGTAGCTGAAGGTGGAGAAGCTCAGGCTTCAGGGGGACAGGACCCACCGCATTTTTTGTGCATCTTTGATTAGCAGTTGCATTTTGCTAGAACTTCTTATTTCCAGTTTCCAGATGCCTTTTTGAGATCCAGATGAGTAGGACCCCATCATCAGGAAAAGCAAACCCAGCCCTTTGGGAGCCTGAGTGAGGAGATGGCCTTAGTGGCCTATCAGGACAGTGGCAGAGAGCCGGAAGCTGACAGAACTAGTTGAAGCAGCCCTTTTTTCTTAAAGCAAGGGAAGTGGAGAGAGGCACACTGGTTCCCCTGTGCCGCAAGCTTAGTAAACCCAAGAGACAGGCACCCACTGTGGAGAGCTGCACGCCTGCTCAAAGGCTTCCTGTAGTTTCTGAAGGGTTTCATCAACACCGTTATTGACCAGAGAGAGGTCAAAGTAGTGAGCATACTGGCTGCGGATAGCCTCAGAGTCCTTCTGCAGCTGCTGCAGGGCTTCTGTCTGCAATGAAGAAGAACCATGGGTGAAGCAGATGTTGCACCCCCAGCCCAGAGAAGCCAAGGCTGGGTTGTAAACAGACTAACTGCTGCTAGCGTTGCCAAGCTCATCGCCCACTTTTTTTCTTGCCATGCTGTGGGTTGAACCCAGGGCCTCACACATGCTAAGCAAGTGTTCTACACTGACCTACCCCGGGCCCTCCACCTGCCCGGAGGCCCAGACTGAAGACCTTGGCTGCCTGATAGGCAGTCAGTCAGGAACACTTGCAAATCTCAGACTCTCAAGCTGACCCAGTATAAACGGAGTCTTCTCGGAGACCCGCAGCCAGCAGACATGGACTTCAGCACCTCGCCGATACTGTCTGTGCACGGCGATGCCATTCCATAGTCATGGGACCTGTCACTACGGGCCTCACCCCAGATCAGCCGCCAAACAGTTCAACGAAAAACCTGAAAATGCCTGCTAGTTAAAGACATGCCAAAACGGGGGACAATATTTGCAACATATCACAAAGGGTTAATAAAGAATTTCTAAGAATGGGTTTAAAAAAAAAAAAAAACAGCCAGGAACCCAGTGGAAAACTTAGCTAAGGACATGGCCAGATAATCCACAGAAAATACAATGGCTCTTCATGGCATCAAAAGATAGTTTCTTACAGTAAAAGAATATGAAATACCATTTTCCCCACTATCCAACTGGCAGAAAATAAAAATGACAGATACGCTATGGGACAAAGTGAAGCAGGTACTCACAGGCCTCCTGTCCCCACAGCTGACCCACCCCCAGTGGGGATCAGTGCCACCACCCTCCCCTCCCAAACCACATCACCACCTCTGCTGGGACCCAGCCACGCCCCTCCAGGACAGTGACAGCCCCGTTTGGTTTGTTCCCGTTACCTAACGGGCAACGTTGCCGGGGGAAGAGCAGCTCTTGAGCAGGTGAAATGTGTGTCCTTCATCTCCTTGGCCTCAGAGGAGATGCAGCAGTCCGGTCATTCACCCCAGCCGAAGGAACCCCGCCACCCTGCAGGCCACACCCTCACCTGAACACCCTGGTCAGTGGGCGCAATGAACACAATGAAAGGTGAAAGCTCTGCTGTCCGAACAATCTTCAGGGTCTAGAAGTGGAAAGGGGAATGAAGAAGGGGAAAGAAAAGAAACAGCTGTCGAAATCCATTGCTTTTTACCAGTAAGCAGCTTTGGACTTCACCAATCCTGAAACTTTCCATCATTCCCAGTCCTACCGCCCGAGTGTCAGGCTCACCCCACTAAACACAGGGAGCAAGCCCAAGCTCCCAAAAGATTGGTTCCAGGAGCCTGCTCTGCACGCCAGACCAGCACTCCTGCCTTCCTACGCCTCTGTACCTGGGGCTCAATGTCGAGGATAGCAATCTTGTCCTGTTTATGAATCTGGTGCACGGTTTCAAATTTGGTCCCAAACATGTTGCCCTGGTAGCTGCCAAACTCCAAGAACTCGTTGGCAGAAATGTTCCGTGTCATCTCCTCCGTTGAGATGAAATGGTACTCTTTCCCATCTTCCTCACTCTTCCTCGGTGGCCGTGTTGTGTCTGCGGATAGGGACAACAATTTCTGATGAGCTTGGGTCCTCGCCATCTCTGAATGGCTTGGCCCACGTCGCCTGTATGGGGCAGAGTGTGGCAGAGGGTGTCTTCCCGTGGGCTCCTGAAGGGTGACAGCAGCGAAGGCCAAGAAGCCTCCCATCTGCCCAGAACATACTTCATTTTCAAGCAGCAAAGCCCAATGTAAGAAATTGTATCATTTTCCCTTTTCTCCAACCACCAAACCCACAAATACTGATACTCTCAAATGACAGCTACGAAGTATCTTTTAGAGATCTCTGGCCTGGGCGTAGTAGTGCATGCCTGTCATCTCAGCTCAGTAGGCTGACGCAAGAGGATCCTGTGAATTCAAAGCCAGCCTGGGCTATATAGCTCGATCCTGTCTCGATCCCCCCTTCCCACAGACACCAAAAAACAGATGTCTGAAAAGCCAGGCGTGGTGATATAGACCTGCAATCCCAGCACTTCCCCACTTACTCCTCACTCTGTCCCCACGGATAACTCTCAGTGACTCGTGTACAAAGGCAAAACAACTACTAGCAGGTTCACAGTGTGGCTTCTATGTCACTTAGCAGTACCTCTAGGAATATCCACAACACAATTGTATACGTTCACTCCTGGGAGCAGAAGAAACGGAGGTACTTTGTATCTAAGGCTGCTACCGTGACTGTTCAGGCCTTTCCTAGCACTGCTTTGATTTAGAAGGTATTTCATGAGAATCAGAGCAGCCTAAATGTCAAACAATAATGAAATAGCCAAGGAAATAACTGCACATTCAATACCCAAATAGTTCTCAAAGCAATGTAGGCAGACAGTAGAGGGCTACGAGAAAGTTTTATAAAGTAAATTTAAAAATATAATATGTATATTTTCTTTTTTCATGTAGTTCTGAGGATTGAATTAAAAGCCTTTAACATGCTAGGCAAGTGCTCTACCACTGAGTTACATACCCAGCCTCCCCTCCTTTTTTTTTTTAATAGGGGCTTCTTAAATTGCTCAGGCTGGCACCAAATTTGCGATCCTGCTGCCTCAGCCTCCTGAGCAGCTGTGATTACAGGTCTGTGCCACCACACCCAGCTAGTGAATTTTAATTTTTTTTTTCGTTTTTTGAGACAGGGTCTCACTGTGTAGTTGAAACTGACCTGGAACTCACTATGTAGCCCAGGCTGGTCTCGAACTCAGAGCGATCCTCCTGCCTCAGCCTCCCAAGTGCTGGGATTACAGGCGTGTGCCACCACACCCGGCTTTTAATTCTTAATAATATTTAAAAGCACAGTAAAAAATATTTACTACAGCTTCTGTTATTATTGGTATGTAGAAGAGAATAAGACAAGTTATCTTGTTAATTGGAGCAATGGTGGGTATAAAATTTTCCTTCCAAATTTTTAGTATTTACAATCAAATATTTAAAAATAAAACTACAAAGAAAGACTACATGGCATCTAAGGAAGAGTGGATAACAACCTGCGATGCGGATGCTCCATCCTGCAGACTCCCTCTTCCCCTCCAAGGCATCCAAGAGCTACTTACATGGGGCAGGGTACACGAACTTTTCTGGATTCTGGCTGAGCAAGGCATTCTTAATGTGGCTGCGACCCACCCCGCTGGCCCCTGTGTGTGGGGAGAAAAGGAAACTTGCTCACTAACCCCAAAGACAAAGGTGGGGACAGGAATGGGGAGGGGACAGCTGAAAACGAGCTAGTGTTGCACGTGGGTTGGGTTCAGGGCCTTTGAGCTGCCAGAAATGGGACCACCAAGTGGCTTCAGATCTTCTTTATCCACTTGAGTTAGGAGGAGGCTTTCTCTAAGGATTAAGGGTCAGGACCCAGCATATAACTGTCATTCCATAAAAGAATCAGCTAATGTAGGTTTTCTATTTTATAAGTATATTCGCTTTTCTGAGTTCCCAAAAGTAATGGAATGAAATTTAAGTCAATGTTTTTGGTGGGCGTTTCCCTCATAACCTAACAGGTCCTCTAACCAACCAATGTTTTGACTCTAAGGAGAGGAAGGTGAGCCACTCACCACAGCCATGGCTCCCTGCCTGGGTCAGAGTCATCTGGGGACTTATGGGTGACTCTGCAGCTCACAGGACTTCTGAGGACCCTCACGAGGCTGTAACCAAAAGCCAATCCCTGGCACACCCTACTGCCAGCCACACAAAGAGGGTCAGGACCAAATGCAGCCAGATAACAGAAACTCCATAAGGTTCAGTTGCACATGTGAGGTAGACCCAGGTGGAAAGTTCTTCCTATCTGCCCTATGTGGAGAACTCCATTTCCCCTCAGTGCCTTTTGGGGGGTGAGTGCAGAATGTGAGTGGGAAGCAAGGACAGAAATGTGCTCTGGAACTGGCAAAGCAGTGAGAAGATACCGATCAACACCAAGGTCTTCCTCTTGAACGCAGGGAGCCGAACAACTTCCTCATACGAAACAACATCCAACTGGTCAAAAACTAGAGACAAAGAAAACGAGTCAACATTCATTCCCAGAGCGTGGCTGGGAAGAGCTGGCCAGGGTTCAGGAGCTGACACCCAGCCACGCAGCGACGGGGAGGCTGGACACGAGGCCGGGGACGGTGGTGAGGAGAAAGACTTCAGACTGCATTTGTTTCTAACGTGAGAAGGGAGTTTTGAGCAAGGGACTGGTATGATCTTATTTAGATTTTGAAAGGCTAACCCTTGGCTACTCAGTGGGAAGTCAGGCAAAGGGGCTGAGATCAAGGCAGTGGCACCCTAAGCTGCACCCAACCCCATGCCTCACTGTTCTAATTGTGGGGAATCTGAACTGAATGTCATCTTACTGGGAACGAAGCCGGCTATGCCTAATCAGACACGGCAGGCTGCTGTCTGGGAAAACTACAGATGATACTGATGAGAATTAGGAAGAACAAGAGTAAACTAACCTGTCTGAGTAAACTGAAACACACTGGCATGTTCCATTGGGCCTTGATCCGGTTTCCTCAACAACTGGCATGTGAACTCTTGACACGACTGTCTGCCAGCTCTTTGGACTCTGATTTGTCCTAATGTTTTGGACTCTGTGCTTTCATTCTTCTTCCTCTGTCTCTTAGCTGACCTTTCTGGTCGGCTGTACTTCTCCCTCCTCCCTAGTTTCAGTAACCTAGTGACTCCTGTTTCCAACCTAGATGCTCGCCTCGGATGCAGTTCCCCAGGGCGTGCAGCTTGGCTGTGTCATGGGCACTTCAAGCTCAACGATACCAGCACTGTCTCTGCACTGCCTTACCTCAGGGACACCATCCACCCCTCTGGCCGCCCTTTACCTCCCAGGCCACAGCTACTTCTGTGTAGGTTTCAACATGCCTGACAACTTTGGGTTCTACAATGTGCTCATGGTCTTTCTCTCTGTCTAGGATGCTCTCAACAAAGCAGAAGCATTTAATGAATGCTAAATGAATGGTAGACTACAGTTCATTTGTTATCAGCAACCTGCTTGAGCCCACTTTTAATGCCTCCATATCCATGGGCTCTGCATCCTCAGATTCCACCAGTGATGTGTTGAAACCATCTGAAAACAGTGGGTCTGTACTGAATATGTACATACATTTTTGTGCTTGTAATTCTTCCCTAAACAAATTCAACAACTACTTAGCATTTACAGCATTTTAAATGAAGGACTTAGAAATCTGAGGATTTAGATACACATAGGGACCCCTATGGATACCGACAGACCACTGCCATGTTTCCAGGAATGGGAGGTTAAAAAAAAAGCCAAAATGAGTTCTGGAGAAAGCAGGCTTGTCTTTGTGGCTGCCCAAGGCTTGTGGCCAGGTGACGCTGAGGTGCTGTCACTCTGAGGAAGAGTGTGGGCCTGGTCCATTGCCTTCCTTTCCTACCTGCTGCCACTGGACCCCTGACTGCAGTAGTGACGAAAAGCAGAACACGTGCTGATTGTGCTCCGCCCCACTCCTCCCCTGTGCTATTTAAAGAGCCCAGGTACCAGGCTGGAGCCAGCGAAGCGGGGAGCTCAGAAAGCTTACTTGAGCTGTGCTTGGCTAGGTACTTGTCTTTGTACTTCTTCTTCTTCCCAAACGGACTGCAGCTCGGGGCTTCACTTGGAGCAGACTGAGCCACGCTCGCCACTCGCCTGGCGGGAACAGATGACCAAAGTGTAAAAGCCACAGGTTCATTCAACTGTCCTGTAAAAGCATGGAGTAAGCCATTTCCTTTCTACACCCAGATTCCAGACTGACTCACGCCCTTCACTGTGCACCAGCCCAGACGCCTCGCACGGCGTGGCTCCAGGGCTTGCCCACTCCACTCCCTCTCCTCCTCGGAGAGTTTTTATGTGGGCATCCAGAGACCCTGCAACGGAAGTTTTTCCAGGAGGAAACACCCGGACCGTGTCCTGCCCTCAGTGCAGCGTGACCATTCTGGCTGGCTCTGTCCACCTCCAAGGTGAACTCGGGAGGCAGAGTCCCTGCCTTAGTTTGGGTACCACAGGCAGGGGGCCTTGGATCTGGCATCCAAACCACAATGGGAAATATACTGTCCATTGCAATCCTGTACCATAATGGATATATCCAAACAGACGTGCACACATACAACTAGGACAACAGCTTCTATTACTATGAGTAACATACGCTAATATTTCTACTCGACGTTATTTTTTAAAAGAAATAGTTGTTGCAGTCCACCAAATTTATTTCCTGCCTTGCTAATGAGCTGTGGCCCACAGGATCACCTCATATTTTCCCACGTTTTTACCAGCCATCTGTTGCTCCTGACCTTGCAGGGTTCCTTGCAAGGTGTTGGCTCGGAAACTGACCTAGAGGCCACTGTCAATGTGCTCCAGGCTTTGACCAGTATCACCCGGAGTCTGCTCTGTATTTCTTCTGTTGCTCTAACGCTCAGTTTATTTCTACGAGGCACATCCTGTGGTCCAGTGCCATGTTTATAATTTCCCTTCCACTGCATCATTCCTGGAGATGAGATCAACCAGAACTCTAGTTTCAAAGCGAAAGACTGGTATATGAAAGAAGACCCTTGAAGCTGTGATCTCTCTGCGGGGCTTATGTTGCAGAGGCAGAGGGAGGGCTAGTAGTGAATACGGACCTTTCTACCACTCCCATGGCCATGTGGTATAACCTAGCACTAAGTGAGCCATCTGACATGGGGACAGGAAGTATTTCTCCTATGTGCCAGGAATCTGTACAAAAGACACATTCATCAAATGTGACTACTTCCTGCAGGACTCTTGGATGTTGAGTCTTCCCAGAAACAGCACAGAGTGGAAGAAGGGAGGCAGATCAGGGAGGGCTTTGTAAATGCGGGGGAAGCGTTTGAGAAACCAACAGCCATCAGTGAAGCTTCTCAGCTTGCTGTGGGCCCTCCCTTGCCCTTAATGCCAGGGGAGCCAGGAGGCTGCCTAGGAGAGATGGCAACGACATGCAAGAAACGAGAGCCATGAAGCTAAGTGATTATCTGTGTCAGGCATGTGCTTTTCCCATTTGCAGAATCCATCTGCACGGAGGCAGCTCACCATTCCTGCAGCTCGGGGGAAGGGATCAGTCCTGCAGACTCCTTGGAGGAGCCTTCCACCCGCCCCTGCCACCAGTTGCTGTCATCCTTGTTGATGATCTGGATAATGTCCCCAGTAACGAACTTTAATCCCGCCTCCTTGCAAGGGATCAGACTGTCCTTTTTGGGATCGTAGTCAAACTGTGCTCTCATGAACATCTGAAAAAGAAGGCAAAGGAAACTGCAAGTAGCAGCCTCAAGAGAACGATCAGCCTGAGAGCGCAGAGAGAGTCCTGTTGCCCCGAGTTCATAGAGGATAAACACTGGGGAGGCAGGAGTGGTGGGGGAGCACATAAGAAAGGGAAGCTGGAGAGCAAAGTGGGTGCAAGTGGCTAGTGCTTTGTCTGTACAAGGTCAGAACTGATCGCTGGAACAAGGAGGCAATGAGATGCCTTTCTGATCAACATGTTTTAAATTACTGGATCTGTGCAGTGTGTCTCAGAGTACAGAGCAGCTACTACCTGAAATGTGTGTGATCTCTTGACCGATATGTTAAATAAACTTGGTAGACCTTCTCTAGAAGACAGTCTAAACAACGTGAGTGTGCCCCAAGTCTTCAAACGTTGATGCCCTTCCATTCCCCCTCTAAGCATTTATCTGGTAGTAGAACAGTGACATATAGATAAGTGTGCACATCACAGCACTCTTGAAGCACTTCTTACAAGAATGAGGTAGCGGACACAACCTCATTTGCCAAGAAGTGGGAATTGGTTAAATATGGTCATCTACTGAATATGTTACCACGAGATCATAAAACAGCAATTTACAGAAGAATATTTAATGCCCTTGGAAAATGCTGCTGCTGTGATGTTAAATGAGAATGTCATTAAACAAAAACAATACCTAGTATGCTCAAAATTAAAAAAAAATCAGTATTGATTTATGCATAGAAAAAAGACAGGAAGAAACTATGCCAGAATGTAATACTGATAAGCTGTGATAAGAGTGAGAATAGAGAGTCAAATGCAACCCAAAGAGAAAAAAATAATAAAGAGCAGAAAGAAATGAAAAAGAAAATAGCACTGAGAAGATCAAGGCAAACTCAATTCTTTGAAAAGATTAATGATGCTAACAAAACAGAGAAGACAATTTACCCACAGAATTAAGGGTCTTTAATTGCACCACTGTGGCTGCCTCCGTATCCTGAATTGATTCAAAATGTTGACCTTTCAAGATCATTTTGACTTTGGGGAAGAGCCAGAAGTCGTACCGTGTCAGATCTGGTGACTAAGGTGGGTGAGGGTGCACTGTAAGGGCTTTCTGAGCTGCCTTTCTGTTGGATGGCGCTTGGCAGCAGCATTCCCCACATTTTGGTTACACTGTGTAAAGATACTCAAGAGAGAGGACTTCGGGAATTGCTTCAGCAAGTAGCAAGAAGGAGGAGATATAATGTTTAAAATGAGGGAGGAATCGTGACAATGTGTCTTTTACGGTAGTACATTTTTAAATTTAAATATTTGCTGTACATTTTGCTTACATCTTATCTATCTATCAAAAAGAATTATGAAAATTCTATTTATTCCACTGCTTCCAACAGAGGGGGGGTGGGGACAGAGAGAGACAGAAAGAGACAGCGAGAAAGGAGGAAGACAAGGAGGAGAAGGGAGAGGAGGAGGAGGAGAGTGGAGGGGAAGGTAAATTCTTCTGGTAAATTCTGAAACATTATGTGGAAAAATAAGAATAATTTCATAGAAATACAAATGACAGAAAATGATGGCATTTCTCGACTCATTTTATAAATCTAGCATAACCAAGATACCAACATGCAACAAGAATCTTATACTCTTTCTCAGCAATAGAGACATAAAAATCTGAAGCAAAACATTAGCAAATCAAATACAGCAATGTACAAAAAGGACAATCACAATCATACAGGATCTAGTTCAGCAACACAAAGCAGAAAATCATATGTTCTTCTCACTAGATGAAGAAGAAACATTTGATAAAATTCAAAGCCCATTCAAGATTAAAATTCTTAGAAAACTACTGAAGAAGAACTACAAAACCCTCACGATATATTATACAAAAAAGCAAAGAGAACAACTCCTTGACACTGGAGCTAGATTGTTTCTTCACCATCTGACCAGCCCCAAGGGCCTGGCTGAGCCTCCAGTCTTAGGGGGAGCGAGTCCCTGGGCTTTGATTCTGAGAGAACCAGCTCATGTCTGATGGGACCTTGAGCCATGCAGCTGCACACTTGTGAGATACTTAGAACTCTGGAATTGCATTAGGTGTAATCAAATCTCAAGGAAAATAAAACAGAGAGAACGGCGCCACCTACCTGTAATACAGGAAGACGACTTTGCTGGTTGGGAATTACTTTTAATGAGATCATTCCTTTGGTTTCTTTCTATTAAAAAGAGAAGAAACAAAATTATAAGGGAAACTAAACTGAATGATTTCAGGTTCTGTAAAGTCATTTACCCCATCACAGTCCCAGGTTCTCCCCTCAGCAACCATCTTTATCCTCCATTTAGAGATTTGTGTAAGACAGTTCCTCCTAAAACACCAGTATCATGTGTCCCAAAAACCAGAGTAACACTATGAAAACACACCAAGAAGAGTAAAGAAAAAGCTAATGCCTTCATCCTTCCACTCTTTATTTTGAGGCAGGGTCTCACGATGTAGCCCAGGCTGGCCTCAGCACTCCTCTCACCTCAGCCTCCAGAGTGTGGGATGACAGGCCTGCACCACGGGGTTGCCTCATTCCACTCTTGACCCCCACAAGGCACTAAGAAGTTCCTACAGTGAGCCCTGGCACACATAGTCACACCTGCTGCAACAGACACCGCTGAACGTATGTCCCTTGAAATAGGGAACGAGTTTAGCATCTCAAAGACAACAAGTTAAGGTCCTTCCCCATACCTGGGTGCCTGCATTTTTCCTTCACTGCCCTCAGCAGATGCTATCTTGCCTTAGGAGCACTGTGATTAGCTTTCCCCACACAGCCAGGAAACATGCAGCCTTCCATGTATTTCCCTATGCCTAACACAAGTTACACCAGCCTCAAGACTTCAGGATCTAAGTCACGTAGCCTGGTCCCCAACAGCAAATGCAGAGATTTTCATCTTTTTTAAGGCTGCGAGAGTATTCCACTGTGTGTACACCACAACCCTCTTCCTTGAACACTGATTCTGTGCCCTAGCCACTGTGGGTAATGCTACAATGAACAAGTGTCTTTTCAAAAGCTTACTGGCCATCTGCTTTTTCTTATTTCTTTTGTCTGCTTTTCTATTTAGTTGCTTATATTTTTATAATAAAGTTTAGAAACTCTTTACAATTATTAATTTTTTACCAGTGTACATCTCCTTCAACAAGGAAGTTATTTTCATGTGTTCAGTGTTAGAACCCCATCTGAGGGTCTGTTTGCTGAGGTCACTCCTGGTACTAAGTACTGTATTTCTCAGGATCCCAGCAAGAAATAGGTGACACATGCCTGCGGCCCTAGGTACTAAAGAGGCTGAGGTAGGAGAATTCCAAGTTCAAGGCCAGCCTGGGAAACTTAGCCAGACCCTTCTCAAATGAAAAAATAAACAGCTGGGTATGGTGACTCATGCCTGCAATCCCAGCACCCTGGGAGGCTGAGGGAAGAGGATCACAAGTTCAAGCCTAGTCTAGGCAGTTTAGTGACTGCATCACCCTACTAGAAATAAAAAATAAAAAGGGGCTGGGGATGCAACTTAGTACAAACATCATAGATTCAATCCCCAGTACAGGCAAACAAATGAACAAACCACCGGGGATGTAGCTCAGTGTTAAGCGTGAACCTAGGTTCAATCCCCAGCACTGCAGGAAAGGGGCAGGGGTGCCGAAAAGAGTTTGATGGAGGAACCTTCACATATGTGTGGGCATCCTCAAGCAAGGGTGTACGAAAACCGTGCCTACAGGAGAGGGTCTGGTCTTCACCAAACTGGTCTGGTGGGGAAGGAGCAGGGATATAAATAACCTGATCTCTTCTCTCATTCTCTACCTTGTTGCTGAACCCACTGAGCCCAGCTTACACAGTGATGGAGTCAGCACACGGCTGAGTAGAGGAGGTTGGGCAAGAATCAGGAAGGCTCAACAGGGCACTCAGTGGAGACCCCCTGCTCAGTGCTGCACAGACAGGTGTCAGGCAGATTCCAACAGTACTCTCAATGGTGCATTTGTAATTTCCTATTCTCTCTTCAGAACAGGTCCATGAGGCATGGTTAAGGGCTGCTGTCTTTACTTTGGAGATGAGAAGACAAAGATCCAGTGATATTAATTCACCCACTAAAGACCAAGGTCTTCTTTCCCATACCCCAGACTGATATTCCTGGTTATTTGCCCTGTTTTAGAGTTTCATCAAACTAAAGCAGAAAAATGTCATTTACTACATAGAATAAATATCAGAAGTGATCACAGTCCTCTCGGTAAAGTATAAATACTTTGGCAGAGGAGCGATGTACACCGGTATCAAAGTCCATCAAGACTCCGTAAAGACATTCATTTGTATCTAGCATAAAGAAAACCTACCATGGCCTTCTGCAGCTGATCTACCGAGTGGTTAGTCACATTTGTGCCATTGATTTCTAGGATCTCATCCCCCACATGAAGGGAGCCTGCGAGGAAACAAAAAAATGAATGCATAAAAGGATAAGAGTTCAAGCAAGCTGTCAATGTAACTCAAGACAGCAGAGGAGAGGAATGTGACCTTGAACATGTTATGGGACATAGTGTGTGGAGTACTCAGTTTTAAAACATCAAACTATAAGATACGAATAAATATCCTTTTGAATCCCTCAAAGGATGTATTAAGGCAAGCACCTTGTCCTTACATTCCTGAACCTAGAATGACTCCTGACTCCAGAAGACTCAGACACACCAAGCAAAGCATAGTACTCAGTAGTCTCATTCAGCAACAAGTTTAACATTCCTTTGTTATTGTTTAGCTGAAACTCCCAAATGGTAATCAATATTTGGATTCTATGTGAAGAGTGGTTACCAATATCTGTGTTATGTTGGATACCAAAAAACTCTAAACATAAAAGGGTGAGAGTTAATAATGCAGGAAAAACTCAGCAGCATAGCTATAACCCTAACATTAGGAAAAGTTCCAGGCAGGGCTCAAAGAATGGCATGAATCAGATGGCTAAGCTCTGGCTACCATCAGCTGCAGCAGGCATGTCATATTCTAACCATCATGGCATGTCATATCTAACCATATTGCTCTGGATGGGCGTGGTGGCACATGCCTTTAATCCCAGCACTCAGGAGGCTGAGGCAGGAGGATCGCTGTGAGTTCAAGACCAGCCTGGGCTACATAGTGAGTTCCAGGTCAGTCTCAACTACATAGTGAGACCCTATCTCAAAAAACAAAAACAAAAAACAAGCATATTGCTCTGTTCTGGCATTACCCTCTAAAATAGATTTGACTAAATGATGCTTGTAAAAATCGATGGTACTTTACCAGTAAGGCAACACAACAACAACATCTCTTTATGCAGTTTTAAATTGCTCCAGTATGGTAGAGATGATCTGTTTCCTGCACTGCTGTAGACTCAAAGTCTGATGCAATGGGCTGCCTGCAGTAATGCTTCAACTATTAATTAACTAGAAAAATATCAGCATAAAAAGGTGTATAGGAAGGCTCAGAAGGAGAGATGGTAGTGCTGGGGAATTTGTATTAAATTTGATCATGCAGTTTTCTAAAGAGCCACTTATGAAGACATGCACATACATACACACAGTTACAAAAATGCTATTAGTTTTGAAGATTATAACCTTCATGTCCCACATCAATGAACAGGGAGTAAATGATTAATCGCAGAATAAAAGCCAATCTAGGACCTCCACAGCATACCCTGCCTATGGATCATGCCACCATGAAGAATCCGGGCCACGGTACAGGACTGTTTTTCATTCAGTTTCAGAGTGATTCCCTGAAATAAAAGAAATGGCACAGTAAGTTGTAGTTAAAGCTCTTTTGGGGGTTATCTTTAAAAGAGCTTAAGGAAGCTTCTCAGGAAAAATTTTTCCCATTTATACCTGGGCTGGTCCTCAACTAGAGCAGGCAGGGAGGGAGCTTGCTCTGAGAAGAGATGGAGACAGGGACTGAGAGACACCGTGGTGGAGTTGGCTGGAGCCTTCTCTACTGACTCTTGTGGCCCAGAGACTCACACAAGGGACAAGTAAGTGGTGGGCGACAATATGACAGGGGATTACCATGGGCTCCTCTGTGACCTTCTCAAACTGTATGAGCCGTACTCTCCGCACCTCCTGCCCCTTGGCCTGGGCAGGGCTCCCTGGGGCTGTGGACCCGTTGGTGTACATATCCTCAGTGACTGCATTCAGCTGGCTGGACACGGCCTGCGGAGTTCAAACAACAGAGCAGTGGATGAAACAAGCAGCAAAGGCTTGTGGTCAACCCATTATCTGCAACTCGAAAATGTTCAGTGTCACTGTAATCAGGGAAAGAGAAATTAAATTAAAAACTCAATAGGTTACCATTACACACCCACTACAATGGCTAAAATGCAAAAGACAGATGATACCAGGTACTGGGACTCTCATTCATTGCTGGTTAAATGGTACAGCCACTGTGGAAGGCAGTTTGGCAATTTCTTCTATAAAACTAAGCACACACGCGATGGTCCAGCAATCCCACTCCCAGGGATTGCCCAAGACAAAACCCAACATTTGTCCACACAGAAATTTACACATGAATGTACATAACAGCTTCATGCTAATAGCCCCATACTGGAAACAAGTGTTTTGGCACAGGAGAATATATAAACCAGTCGTGAATACTATTTGGCGATGAAAAGGATCAAACTATCAATATATGCAATATGGGTAACTCTCAGAAAAGTTACGTGCCGTGAAAGAAGACTTACAAAATAGAGTATATACCATATGATGTGATTTATGTAAGATTTTTAGGACAAGTAAAACTATTGTAAAAAATTAAAACAGTGGTTGCCTCTGATGGGATGTAGGAAGGGCTGGCTGGAAAAGGGTACAGAAGAACTTTTGGAGATGCTGGTAATATTCTGTATCATGATAGGGGGTTGAATTACATAGATTTATGCATTTGCTAAAGTTCATCCAATGGTGCACTTAAGATCTGTGCATTTCACAACATGTAAATTTTACCTCAAAATAACCCATAAGCAAATATTGAACTCTAGCCAATGATATGCACGCTGAGGCTTTTGAGTCAAGTGCTACAATATCTGCAACTTATTTTGAAATGCCAACCCCACCCTGAAAAAAAAAAGCAAACAGCAACTATGTGTAGTAGCACACAGCTGTTATCCCAGCTACTTGGAAGGATGAGGCAGGAGGAGTAGAGCAACTTTGAGGCTAGTCTGCAAATTTAGCAAGATAGTGTTTCAAATTTTTAAAAAAACAGAGCTGCAGATGAAGTTCTGTGGTAGAACACTTGCCTAGAGTACATGAGGCCCTGAGTTCAATGCCTTGTACCACAAAAAAGCAGGATGGATGGATGGATGGTTTGGGACATAATGAAGACAAAGCAAACATAGTAACATGTTAAGTATAGAACCTAAGTCATGACTACATGGATGATAAAACTCTTTCATCTTCTCAGTGACTCTGGAATTTTTCAAGCAAAGCACTGGGGGAAATGGCATCAAGAGTAAGAAGGCAAGGCGTGCAGCAGGGAACTGGAACTCTCACACCTGCAGGTGGGAGTGTAAACTGGGGAAATCACACAGATCTCTACCACAGAGATGCCATTCCATTCCCATGAGCCAAAAGAGGTAGACAGCTATAACACTTTTTTCATAATGTTATAAAATTAGAGTTCTGAACTGTTTGCTTAGTAACCCATAAACCCTTCTGTATGTTCTCTAAGAACAGTAGCATTCTCAAAACAAAACACGGATACAATGCTCTGAACATTTATATAATACTATCGTCAAGGGTCCCAATAATGGCCTTGGTAGCTGTGTCTTCTCCCAAAAGCCTAGATCCAATCGAGGATCATGCAGTTTTCTCATCTCTTCGCTTTTCCTTAATTTGGTAAAGTTCCTCAGTCTTTGACTTTCATGGCCTTGACATTTTGATGGGCGGCCCTATTATTTTGTACACGTTTCTCAATTTGTGTTTGTCTGATGCTTTGCCATCACTGACTGACATTTTCGACGGGAATCCTACATAGCATCGCTCTTCTTAAATGCCCAAAGCACCCCATGCATGAAATTCACAGGTGATCACTCTCTTCTCCTTGAAACACTCCTCTTCAGTCTTTGTTGGTTCTTCCTCATCTTACTGATCTACTAATGATGAAGTAACCCAGAGTTTGAGGTAAGAGCTGTATCACAGTAGGGAAGGCCATAGGAAACCCTCCGAAAATGCTCCCTACCCATCCTAGATAAAATGTTAAATAAAAATCAGTATGGCTGCTAGAGGAAGGAGGAAGAGGCCTGAGTCAGGGCCGGTTTGGTATTTGGGCACAAGCTAAAAACTGATGGCCACTGCATTCCGGTCATGTGCAGGGGTGACCCACAAGGACGTGGGGGATGGACGGTATTCCCAGAAGGCAGATCTGTGAGGAGTGTACCTCATTTCCCACTCAGCAAAGAAGCCCTAGGTGGGAGTATCTATTTCCAGGAAGTGTCCAAAGGCCCAGCTATAAGCCCAGAAAGAAGTGGACAGGAGGGTAGGAGATGAGGAGGTCTAGAACACAGACACACGTCCCACATAACATCTTGATTCGAATTCACTGAATCTTCTCTAGAAGGTCAGCAGAACCTGCAGGAGATAGTGAGGTTTGAAGTGGTGTTACTGACGGAGTGACTTCAGAGGCAGGAAGTACTGAGAAAGAGAAACTGCCTTGTCTAGCAACTAGAACTTCCCAAAACTCACATGACACCAAGTCAGATGACACTGTATTTTAAGAAAATTGTCCAAAATACGGCTTTGATTTGAAAATTGACTTAGGATACCTGGAAGTACAGAACTTCACATAATTCCTAGGTACTCTACAGTAGAGGATTCAATGATTCAGTTAACACTGAATGGGGAGACACCACGTTGCTGTGACATGGAGTTTCTGAGGTCATACTGAAACCACATTGTTGAGTGGGGAAAAAAAGGTGAGGACAAGAACACCAGCATCATTATGGACACTGAGAAAATGAATATTGTCGTGGGTGCTACTGTCGCTGGAAGGAAACTTAAGAAGCTGTGGTTGCTTCTAAGGAAATGAGTAGGCATGTGACTGGGCGAGAAAGAAGTCACTTCTGCAGTATCATCATCCCTCTCAAATCAGGTACTGGATACTTGCACTGCTTTCATGAAAGAAATCATAAAAGAACAAAAGCACAGGTTAGAAATCTGAGGTGTGCCTCTTGACAGAAATATATACACTGTTTGAGTTAGATACTGGCTCTATGCTAATAGCTGGGTAACTCTGGGGCAACAATCTTGACCTTCTTCTGTTTCCATCTCCTCAACTACGATGAGGCCAGTAACAGGATGACCGCATAGGGAGTTGCGAAGCACACAGCCACTGTAGGTCATGACTAGTAAGACGCTGCACATATCTGCCAATTCTGAAAGATACTGCTAAAGAAAATGCTCAGTATTCAAAGTTTCATGCATCCCTTCACATCTAGGTCGCAATGATTCATTTCTAATCCGGCAAATGAAAGCTTCTTATTCCTAAAAGCTTGACAAAACACAATATTTTTTGTTCTGACAAATGAGATTGTCCTAAGTAACGGGGCTGCATGTTCAAGCTAGCAGCCTAGGTCCAAGTGTGGGTCTGGTCCTCCCTCACCCATGACTCTTTTTAAGTGAGAGCAAAAGGTGGAGTCAGAAACCTACACACAAACCAAAGAAAAGCATAGAAAAGTCAGGGGGATGAAGGTAGAAAGAGATAAAGGACCGGCATTGATCCAGAAGAGCTGACAGGTTAAATCCAGCATGTGCATACACAGAGATCAGGTGGAGAGCTGCACTGCTGTGCAGAATGCAAGCTTGGAGTCAGCTCCATTTTCGAGGCAGGGAAGAAGGGCCTGGCCACGGCACCCATCCCCAGACTCCCCATGGCTGCCTCTTCCTGTATCACTGGCCAGCACTATGAGGCACGGTCACCCTAAGCTGCGCCCATGAGGCCATTCCAAACAGGAGCAGGACTCTGCAGACCTTTCTTGCTATGCAGTTCAGGCTGGCCTTGAACTCACCATGTAGCCAAGTTGGCCTCATACTTTCAGCAATCCTCCTGCCTCAGCCTCCCAAGTGCTGGGATGACAGGCATGCACAACCATGCCTAGCTAATTTTCATTGTTTTGAATCCTCCCATAGACAAATCCTGAAACAGTTATAGGAAAGAACAGACTACAAACATCAGCACTGTAATGATATTAAGATATACACATACATGAGAGAGATCGAAGGTAAAAAGAAAAGAAATAAAGAGAAGGCACCACTAAACTTGGCATCAAGAAAGAAGCTTTACTGGCACTAGCACTGGCTGGACAGGAAATTAAGGAATAAACATATACCATGAATAACCAGCAAAGCAGAAGTGCAAACCAATGGCCCACAAATCTGTTCTATTTATATCTGCTATATCATGTTCTCTTTGAACCCTCACAAACTCTGAAGTCTATACTTGTGACTTACTAGTCCTTTAAGCTCAGACAGGCTTGTAAATCACTCCAAATATCAATCAAAAAGTAGAGGTAAGAATTTGATTGACTGGCTGTGGTGGTGCAGCCTGTAGTCCCAGCACCCTGGGAGGCTGAGGCAAAAGGATCACAAGTTTCATCCCAGGCTGGGCACTTTAGCAAGTCTCTGTCCCGAAATTAAAAAAAAAAAAAAAGCTGGGCGTGGTGGCACACACCTGTACTCCCAGCACTTGGGAAGATGAGGCAAAAGGAAGATCTCTGCAAGTTCAAGACCAGCCCAGGACATATAGTGAGTTTGAGGAGAGCCTGAACTGCAGAGTGAGACCTGTCTCAAAAAATTAAAAAAATTAAAAGGGTGGTAGTGGGGATGTAGATCAGTGCAAAGACTAAAAGCACCTGCCAGCCTTGTACAGCGCCCTGGCCAGGGCACACACAGGTGACTGCTCCTTGAATGGGCCGGATCCTGTCCGCTCTGGGACACGCACATTAAGACTATGAGAAGACCAAGAGTGCTCTGAGGAATCAGACAGAAATTAGCACTGTTTAACCACAACTGATAAGAACTGGGGCGAGAGGAAGTCCTGGATTTAGTGAGTGACACTGTTATATACAGTCCTGGCACTAGTTTGATGTTATCTGCAGGCGAAGGCCTGTTTTCTCCTCTGAGGAATGGTGCTACTTGGGTTTCCTGTTTTTCTTCAGCAGAGAGAGAGACCTTCACAGGC